CACTTTGGTGGATAAAATGTCCAATTTAGCATTAGTAGTAGAGAATAACTCTACTATACGACCTAATGTAGGAGGAGAGGAAAAAGGGATAGTAGGTATTCATAAGAGTAGGATGTACTAAGAAGCTGCTCCTGACGACGTGTAGATTCCAATAACATCTTCATGTAATTCTCTGACTCAGCCATCGACTTAGTTACTACTCCTGATACCTGAATACCATTATACTAGGACTACCATGACTATCATAACTACTTACTGCAGTAGTGGCAGTATAAGGAGGATCAGATATTGGTGTCCTCTGCGTAAAACTAGTGCTGTAGTAATCCTCTGTATTCATCGTCATATCATAAGCCTCCATCGTAGCCACCTATTAGGGACTAGTAGTAGTAGGGTTATAATAGATATGTCCCTACTACCTGTGAGGAGGACTGCTGTTTTTCTTGTTGTTGAGGAGTTGATGATGATGACATATGTGAGTGATACTGAATTGTAGATTAATTGATAAGTACTTGATAATAGTTAACTACAGGTATACCCGAAACAACGTTATTATCATCATAACCATACACGTAAATACCAATAATCGTTATCTATGATTATCATCAGTCCTCGAGCTTTGAGTTCCTCCCCCTTCCTCCTTCTCCTCCCCCTGCTGGTGGTGGTGTATGCCCGATGCCTCAGTCAAAGGCTGCTGCTCCTCAGCCTTCTCCTTAGCCTCTCCCATAGGTATACCAGAGTTCTCATTCAAGTGAACCTCCTCAGCCTTCTCCTTAGTAGCAGCTGCTGCTGCTGCTGTTGCCTCCTGTCTATCCTTCTCTACTCCAGCTCTGGTATCGATATACTTTAAGTATTCTGCAACATTGATAACTACTATGATGAATGTTAATAGTATGATTACTATCATTGATGCCATAAGGCCTAGGTCCAAGGACATCCTGTAGATCATTGAATACTAAAGTCTCCTTAGTAAACAGCTCTACACTCAAAGCCTTCACCTTAGCTTCATTCGCCTTTAATAACTCCTTCACTCTAAACGATTATGATAATAATAACAACGAGGGTGGTAAATTTAATTACCTCTTATATTGATTCTCCACAATCTTCCTAGCCTCACTCTCGATAGTCTGAGCTGTCTTCTCACTAAATGGCTTATACCTTTAATAATAAGTACCTTACTATTACTACTACTATGGACCTATAATACTTACATCATCTCCTGCATCTGTTGAGGATTCCAACTAAGTAGACCAACACCTTCTGTCATACCATATACTTGTGCCATACCCAATGCTATATTAGTAGCCTTAGCAAAGTCATCAGCAGCACCAGTAGTAATACGACCAGTAAAGAGTTCCTCAGCAGCACGACCACCCAAGATAACAGCTAATTTATCATGAAGAGCTTCCTTAGAATAAAGAGCTAACTCCTCAGGAAGATATTGTGCAAAACCTAAGGCCCCAGATGACCTTGGTACTATGGTAACCTAAATAGATAAGCATCGATACGTTAGTGTTGAGGAGGAGACAGTAATACCTTTAGGAGAGGATCAGCAAATTCCATCATCCAACCCGCTACAGCATGACCTGACTCATGTATAGCTACTGTCCTCTTCTCTTGCTCCGACATAAGGTTATTGGATTTAGCCAATCCACCAATAATCCTCTCAGTAGCCGCCTACTAGGTAATAGTCATGTCTATAGTTAATCTATACTTATTATTATTACCTCAAAATCCTTCATCTCTACCCCAGATGAACTCCTACGTGCTGCATAGATAGCAGCCTCATTACAGAGGTTAGCAATATCAGCACCCGTCATACCAGGTGTCAAGGCCGCCATACGTCGGGCTACTTCGGTTACATCAATACCCTTAAGGAGAGTAAGGGGTTTAAGATGGACCTACCAGCCGAATGAGGAGGAAGAGGAGGATGATAATGATAGATAGGACCTTAAAGATAGCTTCCCTATCATTAAGGTCAGGTTTATCAACAGCAATCTGTCTATCAAACCTTCCTGGTCGTATTAATGCTGGATCTAGGATATCCGCTCTGTTGGTACCAGCTAAGACTACTACTCCAGTAGTTGAGCTAAATCCATCCATCTCAACCTAAGAGAGTGGTATGAGTAGTATGATAATGAGTATATTCCTATTACTAGTATCTGATTAAGTGTGTTCTCTCTCTCATCATTGGCTCCTCCAGAGAAACCACCCTTTCCTCTCTTCCTACCAACAGCATCAATCTCATCAATAAATATAATGGAAGGTGCCGCTTGCCGTGCTTGAGCGAATAGGTCTCTAAATAAATAAGCTCCAACAACAGATAAACTCCTCTTACATAGTACTATCACTACCTCACTCGACTAGGACCTACTCCAACAAACATCTCAATAAAGTCAGAACCACTCATAGAGAAGAAGGGTACACCACTCTCTCCTGCTACTGCCTTAGCTAATAAAGTCTTACCTACATTATTATATATCAAAGAGCATTATCAGGAAAACTACCAGTTCCAGGAGGACCAACCAATAATCCACCTTTGGGTATCCGTGCTCCTAAATGCTCGAACTTACTCGGCTCTCTATCACATTATAAGATAGGGTTAGACTAGATGTGAATAATAATAATACCTTAGGAAGTCTACGAACTCCACAACTTCCTGTTTAGCTTGGGTTAGACCAGCAACATCAGAGAACCTAGTCTTCACTCTAAGATCCTTTGTACCTTATTAAAGGATAGTACTACTACTACAAGGCGACATGTATAAAGGAGTATTACCCTGAGGGAAAGCTTTACCAAGTTGGAAGATATTACGTCCACCACTTGATGAACCACTACCTGATGATGCTGAGTATTGGATATACTGAGTATTACTATTATTACTACTACCTCCCATCATACCACCACTACCCATCATTAATCTGGCCGCTAATATGATAGGTATGAGCATTAGGATAGATGGAACTAATAGTATATAATAATAATACCCATCTGATATTATGATGAGTTTATTACGGATCTTAAAGAATTCATCAGCGCCATCACGCTCAGTAATATACATAACTGGTGTA